CGATAGCTTAGTTGCTTTAGATGCTCGCTGAGTGTTGGAGCTATAGGCATGTAAGATGGATGATGGGAGGGAAGTTTGGGATAAGATAGGATTGACCTTACTAGAAGTTAGGACTAGTGCTCGCTCACGATCTTCAAAAGAAGGATCGTATAGACTATCTCCAGTTCTAACTGTCAAGTGAGTGTCAGAAGTTAGTCATAAGTATAGTTGTACTTTGCTTTCACATTTTCAGCTTTGTATAAATCTTGTCAACCTCCTTTTCCTACAGGAAGCAATGCCGAAATTTTTACAAATCTGAAAGAGTCAGTCATTTTTTGGCTCGTGGAAATTCTGGAAAGGCATTTTTCCTACGAGAAGCGCTGCCAAAATTTTCTGAATTTTGGAGAGTTACATTATTTTATGCTAGGGAAAAATTGGCAATCCACCCTGTTTAGAGAAGATACGGTCAAAATTTTCAATAACTTCTGGTACCGATTATTGGAAGGTGAGAGAGAAGTTGGTAGAGGAGTTACGCTACGAAATGGAGCATGTCCTCCATCTGTTTTAAACGTAGTATTGGTCTCTTTTGGCATGTATTGTGATACAAACCTACGCATCCGATTGAAGGCTCGATTCGTTCGGCCTGATCCTACAAAGGATCACTCTTTTGTTATCCTTTGATAACAGGTCGGCTTATGACGCAACTTACCTGCTTCCGAATCTCAACCTAAGGCCTTAGCCCTTGTGGGTTTTTCATGTTTCTTAGGATTTTCACCCAGGCTTCTTTCTTAATGGCCATTTTCAAAGACCGAGTACCTTTATTGTGGGATGATGGAAAATGGTTGGAGCTTGTGTACATGAGGCAGGGTATGAGTCAGTTGACCCTTTCGTGTGTGCGATGTTATTGTTTAAACTTTATGCGATCGCAGGTATGCGTGGAAGATTCTCAACTGAGTCTTGATGATTGTCTGAATGTTGTGTGAATGTCGATGGACAAGCCACATTATTTCTACGAGGGTGATCATATAAATGCCACACAACCTCTTTGTTTAAATGATTGAACCACTTTATTTTCACGTAGTCATTATGGTCAAGTGAACGTGCGCATGCATAGTTTGAGTGATACCCGCGACAATGCACACGCTTGTTTTGACCATTTGAATTAATTGGTCGAACGTTGGTCCAAAACCTGGAATTCCAGGTCCTTGTCCAAGACATTCCAGGTTCCAACTCAGCACAAAAGGGTTTCCCCTATGCGTCGAGCATTCGCGCCCTGCCCATTATGGCACTCCGCCTAAGTGACAGAGGCACCTCAAGGGTTGAACAACTTATCCTTCAGCCGTTTAATATCGTGAAGGAAACGTCCTTCACGACACTTCATCTCTGATACTTGAGTGTCGTGCGCAACGCTGAAGCCCTCGAAGGGCCAAGCGATTATGGGTAATGCGTGAAGTGTCGCCATGATAGTCGATTGCGGGAGTTCACATAACTGGATATTGTGATTTTTTTCTCCACCCCTGATTCCCCTTTAAACTCCTTTGTGCAGACTACACCCAAAGTTTTCATGCAAATTAAGTAATGGGTCGGAACATTCACAAAGGGACCTAGATGCGAATCAAGCATTTTCTTGAGTACGGTTGTCGTAGTCTGCACACGCACGTGTATAGCATAGGCCAAGACCTATGAACAACTACACGCTCGCGCACGCATGACAATTTGATTTTCGTTGTTTAAAAATTATCTTGGTGGAATGATAAGATCCGGGTAGAAGGGTTAGTGTGTTGCTGGTGGTGCGCCAGACAACTCATCTTCTACCCCCTTGCTATCCTACCCGACCCCACTTGGAGCGCAGCAGGATGCATAAGATGGCAGGGTGTTCGGTCTGTTTCTGCGCTCGTTAAGGGACTGACCCCTTATCGCGCGCGTCAGCCGGCACCTGAGCGTCGAATGCGAGCCCACGTTTCAGAGGGGGACACATATTTATGGGCACGACATAGTACTCCATCATCAAGACTGCTTACGTATTCGTACATAGCTGGCTAGGCTACTAGTCGGGCCGCCCGGGTCCCGGGTGGCCAGCTTGTGCAAGGACCAAGGAAGGTCCCAACAACAAAAAAAAATAATAATAATAATAAAAATCCGAAAACAAACTATGTTATGCAAAAAAATAAACTGAACAACTTTTGCCTCAGGGTCACATCGAAATACTTTACCAAATTTAGAATATTTTTTTTTTTTAAATTATTATTATTATTATTATTTTTTTTTTTTTTTTTGGCTCGGCCGGGCAAGTGACCCCGGGCCACTCTGGTAGCCCAGATAGCTAGTCATTCTGATGGAGGCCTATGAAGTGACGATCACTTATGCGAAGTCTTGCGCGCGACATCTTTGCGCTCAAGCACGAGCGCAATATTGTACATAGGAATGAGTTTTTGTTGAAAAGTGTATCGAGTGGTTAGAATGGTCGTCCTAGTCGGCCGGCATAGGATCCCGTTCGAGAGATCAGCGCCTTAGGCGAAAATTCGCGTGTGGGTCCGATTCGGGAGTTAACTGCACGTGCCCCCTATGCTACAGCGAACGAGAAATGCCCTCGGTTGGGCCACCTCTGCGATTGCATACGAAAAGTGTTCGCATGTGGTTCGGTAGCTCGGGGGGGATATGCCCACCTAAGGGATGGTGACAGTTCCTGCGGGTGGAGGTAAGTTGTGCCTCACGTGGTCCTATCATGTCGTAGGGGCTCGCGAGACGTACGGTTGGCGCACTCGGGCGGAGCGGCAAACGCTCTCTGCGACAAGTCCTACAAAATCCTGTGGGATGCGGCCAGGAGGGTTCCCCCTGCAGGACCTATGCGCTCGACACCGCTGCACAATCACCATGCATGGTGCACATGCATTCAGCTGTCACTCACGGTTGCCTCATCAACGATGACCCTTGAACATTGATTCTCCCTTCCTTCTCTCCAACTCGAAGTCCCTCCGCCGTACAGCTCCCATGTCTGCTGGATTATCACCTCCAATGCAATTCTCCACCCGTCGGCCCTAATCAGGCCGGGTCAACAATTATCTCGCCGGTAAACACTCCACAAAAAATTCAGTCCCTTTTTTTTTTTTTTTATCACTCTCAGTGGCGTCAACTACAGTTTCAAAATTTTGTTGATGTCCACTCCCTTGTCAAATTTCTGTTGACGTCAACAACGGTGTCTTTTTTGGTTGATGTCAACTCCCTCATCAAATTTTCGTTGATGGCAACAAGTGTCATTTTTTGTTGATGTCATGCGTTCCACACCGGCTAACCGCTGCTCCGATACCGGACGTCAGGAGACAGCGTCCACGTATGCTTACTGACACTTGCAAATTTGAGATGGCAGGTAAGACACAATTTCACACTTGATTTCAATTGTAGCCTCCATAAAACTTCAAAAATCCACAAAGCGCTGTCATGCGCTGGTACAAAGACGCCAATCAGAGTTCAACACAAGTCTTCATATGATACAGATTTTGCCAATAGCAAGTACGTCTCCTTCACGTCCAAGGACCCGGTCAGCCACCACTCGTCAGAGCACTGGTGTGACAATCCCTCATCACACTCCCCTCCTTCACTCACAGCCTAGCACTCGTAGACGTGCACAACGGTTCGCACACACGCACTTCACACACTGCGATGGCCTACACGCAGTTCCCCCTTGCACGGCAGCTATGGCTGCCTCTTCTTCTCCACTCGGTAGGTCAAACTTCCTCTTGTTCGCCAATTTCCTCCAGCTTCAGCACCCCAGAATCACGATTCAGCTTCCCCACAAGACTTTTGTTACTTGGCCTTGGGTACTGGTACCATTCTGGCCTGGCCTGGCCTGGGTTGTGCTGTGCAACCTGCTGGACGCCCTACCGCTGTTGACAGCCAGCCTACGAATGGTGCTAAGGGTTTTGTTATGAGTTTGTGCAGGTGCAGGTCATGGGATCAGGACTCAACAAGCACAAAATGTCTAATCTCTATAGAACACCCCCAGGTAAGGTTCCAGGTTCAAATCTCTGCATGCTCATTTAGCAGGAAAACACAGGTGAGGGTCTGGGATCGAATCCCACCAGGCAAATGAACGCGAATTCTTTTCAGTACTAGTAGCATGGATAAAGCCTAGGCCCATGGGAACTCCAACTTGTAACCGGATCCCGGCCTGGGCAAGACCTCTGGGCCTAACCTTCTGGAGGGCTATCGAAAATAAAGACCCTGCTGTTCATCTGCACAACTCAAGGGCCCGAAATGATGCCGAGTCTCAGATTATTAGCTCAATTTGTGTATGCGAAAGAGGGAGGACCAAGAGGTGGAGGAAAAATGCAAGGACAATGAGGCAAACGCAGGAAATGAATTATCATCATCCGGCCAAAACCCTATACGCTCCAAACAAAGAACGATGGAAGGTCATGAAGCTCATGGTCTTAAACCGGCATCACACCCATCAAGTTCCAAGCGAATGTGTTTGGACACCGGGGTGTTGTTTCGGGAGCCCCTATGGCCACGGATGCATATATGCAGCTTCAGTTTGCACCTATCCTGTGTGACACATGGACGTTGTTTGGCAAATCTGTGAACTCTATGAAAAGGTGTGAAAGAGGAGAAGGAGGTGGTAAGTGCGATGATTATCTCAACAAGTTTCTGGTTTTGTGTCTCAACTGTCATTCTATCACCATATCTAGTGCTTTGTGGAGCAACACCGTCAACTTACTGTCTTGGACTGTGCACTTTAACCAAAACTATCCTGACCAGTGTAATATAATATGCAGTGTAAGCATACTATGCACCATGCATACCATATATGTTCACATGTTTTTGGTACTGGTCTGAGTAAGCCCTTGGACAAAACACAGGCCACAGAAACAGCAGAGGTCCATCACTGCTATTTTCCAGATTCATGCCGTGATCATGAACAATCGAGTGACTTCATCACATCACTGCCACTGATTCCATTGTTTTGTGCCCTCAACTCCTCGGCCATTGTGTGTGGTTGGCTGTTGTGGTAACTGGATCAGCGTCATCAATGGTGTTGCATCCCCTGCTGAAGCTGGGTTGGAGTTGGATGGGTTATTGGCAAAGGCATGTTTCGAGAACGGCAGAGAAAGGCGCAGCAAGCGTGTTGTTAAGAGGTCGGAAAAATATGTTGATTGGTTCTAGCGGAGCGGGGGGACCCTGGAAGGGCCTGACGAGCCTTTCAGGCCTCAGGCCATTCTGCAGAAACGTGGCCCACATCAGGTGGAACAGGAAGTTTATCTGGCAGAACGACAGCGACGACATGTGTTCCTTCCTGCAGAACTTCACCACCATTGTGTGGAAATGTAGCACAAATTGGCAGGATGTGGTCTAAACTGCCTCTATGGTGAGACCAGGCTGCATGCCATGCTCTGGAAGTACGAACCCACGGTCAAAATCACCAATAGGAAACGGTAGATAGGGCAGACCAAGACCAACCAAAGAGGAGGACAGGCCAGGCTGCTCGCTGACTGCTGACACTTAACCAAATTAGCAGCCATAGGCCTATACGGCGGGCTGAACTCGTTGCAAGCAACATCGACATACCACGTATGCCACATCTTCTTTACTGTGAGAACACAGGAGTGGTAGCGTTTTTTCTCATTGCTTTTTTGACGACTAATAATGACAGTGTACTATTCTATAACATCACCAACTTTCCATACTGCCTTTACATCTTTAGTGATAAGCAGCTCATGAAAACCCAAAGAACCAAGCATCTCCAAGTCAGCCTGCCTTTGAAAGGTATCTAAAACCTTTGGCGTGGGCAGCTAAAACTCGTCTATCCAATCTGCTGTTGTTTAAGATGCTTGCCAGTGATAAGCAACCATGCTGATGGCCCCCAGAATAGATGGGGCACGAGTGGGTTGAGTTGTTCTTGAAAAAAAGCAAGTTGGCCTGCTTTTTTTTTTTTTTTTTTTTTGAAAAAGACAAGCTCCATCTATTGGTGGGGAGCAGCACCTGCTGGAAACCGGGTCCAGCGTCCCATAGATACAACCATTTCCTCGCTGATTGATACAAAACTGGGAACCGGGCCCAGCGTCCCATCACGAGTACATTCAGAAATCCCATCAAAAACTTGCCTGAAAAGGAACCAAGAACAACTAGAGAAATCTAATTGGAGCTACATTTTTTGATTTGAAATGAGACTTCAACTTTCCATCTCCCTTCGACGAGCCGACCTCCTCCACCACATAGTTCGAAGGGAGAGAAGAAAGTAATCAGTCCAGAAACAAATTCTGAACAAGTCTGAGAACAATTAGCTTCCTGCCTGCTATGCCTAGCAACCCCCTACTCTTCCTCATCTCCCGACGAGCCGACCTCCTCCACCACATAGTTCAGAAGATAAGAAACAGCAGACAATCAACCTCCCAAAACCCATATGGTTAAGAATGGACTTCAATTTTCCTTCTCCCTTCGACGAGCCGACCTCCTCCACCACATAGTTCGAAGAGAGAAAGGATAATTAGAGTCCAATCAAAGACTTGCGAAAATGTCGTCAGATCTTTTTTGGTGACGCCGTGGAACGGATACGCTTCCATTGGTCACAGCTCAAACCAATCCATACCCACTATACCCTGTCTCATGCTGCCTCCACCGAGGAAAATCCCTCGGCCCCAACATAGAACAGATCCCCTCCCCTCCCTCCACCACATCCGCAACGGCAACCAATCCCCTCCTAGAAGCTGCCTTTGCCTGCCCCTTGTCCGTGTCTGCCCCCACTGGGGTTGAAGGCGACCAACTCTCCAACCACGGCCCCAGACTCAGACAATCCCCAATCTGCCCCACTCCCAATAGGGCGACTGCCTCCCACCATGCAACACCCCTGTAGAATAGGGCTCCCCTATAACAGACCCCAGGGTTAATTATTCGGGGACAGCTAACTAGTAGTCTATACCCGCACCTGGTCAGCCCTATCTCTCCTTCCCCTAGCTTACCCAAGGCAGGCGGAGGCCTGGCTGACAGTCCTACCGTCCTTCCCCTGGCTTGTCCCCTAACTTAGGCCAGGCGGATCTCAGACCTGCTGTGGGTAACTACCGTATATCTGTACCCTGGAGTCTCAAAACCCCCCCCGCCTACCAAAGTTCCAGCCATAACCTCCGAAGTCCTATCCCCACTAAAGCGTCTGCAAAACGCATGAACAAAACGAAATAAAGAAAATTCACCTTACCCCAATCAGGGGGAACCTACAGGACAAAACCTAGTGGCAAATTGCAACATGAAAGCGTTATGTCTAAAATTTCTACTACAAATAGTCGTGATCAAGAAGTAAGTAATCAAGCAATCGGTGATCAAGGTGTAGGTAACCAAGATATAGGTAATCCAGATGTAGGTAATCAAGATATAGTAACTGAGGATGAAATTATTAACAACTATTGGATAATTGGGTAGCCGAAAACGGTACCCTGAGGCTAAAAAGTTTTTAGATGATTTTAGCAATGGTGATGGTAGTGATGATGACGGAAGTGTTATAGATAACTATTTGAGTGAAACAGCAGCCTAGAATAGTAGCGGCGATCAACTTCGTCTACAGATGAATCACAGCTAGATTGATTGCTAACCTAAATGATCGTAATACAACAGATGATAGCTATGAGAATAATAGTGCTGATAATCGTAAAACCAGGGCCAATGCCACGGGCAAAAACGCAGCAGCAATGGAGTATGAACGCAGAACTCCCAGAAAGCCCCCGAGAGTCAGTCTATTCTCCCTATCAACCTGTGATACGGTATAGACAAGCACCTTCGCTTCCCGCGCGTGCGCAAAACGCTTAATAAGTAGCCGCTGTGAGCTCGACACCCAGCCCAGCAACTCCTCCTTACCCCATCAGCGCCTCTGTCACGCCATCGCCATGCAGTACTTCGTCCGTATGAACGCGCCAGAGCGAAACCGGTTCGAGCCAGGCAACCTCCAGCTTCACCGCCTCACTCCGCCGCTGCGGTCAGTGCCGGGGCGCAGCGCTCCCGGTAGTGCTGCGCCCCGTCCGTTGGCCTGCTGCGGCTACGGCCACGGCATATGTCTTCCTGGCCCCCATCTCCTGCCAGGCCTCATGAACATGAGAGGGAGCACAATCATCCTTCTCTCTCTCACAGATACAAAACAAAAAAAATTCCCAAAGCACAAACAACCCGTCCTCCCCCTCCTCATCTCCCACCTCATCCTCGTCATGCCACCTTCTCCACCCGTTCTCCTCCCTGCTCACCTCCTTATCCCCACCCACTTCCTCACTCCGCTCCACTCTACTCCACTCCACTCCAGTCCACTCCACTCTACTCCACTCTACTCTACTCCACTTCACTTTACTCCCCTCCATTCCACTCTACTCCTCTCCACTCCTCTACTCCACTCCACTTCATTCTACTCCACTCACATCTACTCTACTCTACTCTACTCCACTCTACGTTTCCCTACTCTACTCTTCTCTACTCTTATTTTCCCTTCGCTTCTCTTCGCTTCCCTGCTTTGCTCTGCTCTCTCCTCTTCTCTACCCTGCTCTGCACTACTCTCCCCTGCTCTTCTATGATCTTCTTTGCCCTGCTCTGTTATGATATGCTCTGCTATGATCTGCGCTGCCGTTCATCATAGTGCGCCCAGTAGTTGACTTGAATGGAATGAAAAATCTTCATATTGATTTTTCTTCTTTGTACGTTGGTGTTGTTCTTTCTTTATTCTAGGCATTTTTCTTTTGTTGGTCCTCTCTCTCTCTCTCTCTCTCTCTCTCTCTCTCTCTCTCTCTCTCTCTCT